CAGTAACTTTAAAATGAAGTAAAATTTTTTTCTTGGATATTTTCATAAGTTTCGGTAGAGCTCGTCGAGCTCTACAAAATTGTACATATTAAAAACTTTGTAAGCCATCTTTTTCAGATAAAAAGTTCAAAAAACTACTTGGAAAATCTCAAGAAACGTTAAAAATCTTCTTTTTTTTATATGGAAGAAAAACACTTCGTTCTTAAATAGAATTATTTATTTTCATTATTTTTACTACCTCAGACGTTTCGAAATGTACCCATTCGATGCAGCATGAAAAACTGCGTCTAATGAGTATATTTCGAAACGCCTAACGCACTTAAAATAATAAAAAAACTAATTTTATTTAAGAACCAAGTGTTTTTCTTCCACATAAAAAATATGAATTTTTATAACATTTTTTAAGATTTTCCAAGTAGACTTTTGAATTTTTTATTGCAAAAAAATGGCTTAAAATTTTTTTAACATATACAATTTTGTAGAGCTCGATGAGCTCTATCGAACCATGTAACAATATCCAAGAAAAACTTTTACTCCGTTTTTCAATTGCTGGCACCTTAATTTTCGACCCCTAAATTAGTATACATTTCTTAAATTCAATATTAAACAGTTTTCATTACCTTCACTATTGGGTATCAATAAACCCCATTTTTGACGGGCTTTCATCTGATATACAATTCATTATGTCTTCTGCTTAAAATTATAGCGGTACCCCCCTGGAATAATATTATTTCCAACCCTGTAGTTTTGCAAAGAGTTCTAAAGTATGAATTTGTACAAAGATAGAGCTTCCATCAAATCTGATAGTATTTTTACATTTCTAACTTGAAAGTTGAAATATTGTTCGACACCATATGGAGAAGGTAGACCTTTCCTAAGCGCTGATTTTCCATTACCATTCTAACATGTCATTTACGAAAACAGTTTCTTTGCCATTATCTAAGCGATCAAACTATTGTGTCCATTTTATTTTACCAGATATTCGATGGTTTGGTTCCAAAAATGAACCGACTAGACGCGAAGACTCTCACTGTTACCATCTCTGCAATGATCTTTGACCCTGCTTGTTCCAGGAACGTCCTAGGATAACTACTAATTATCCATTGTTGTTATCCAAAGTTTATAAGGCATTGGGAAATCTGGAAAACTTTGAATAGAAAGTGATAGCATGGGGACCATACCACTTTCTGAAAAAAGAAAGGTTATATGAGTTATGTGCAATTTATCCGAAAGGTAGGTTTGTCTTGTTTTCGACCATTGAATCGAACGGCACATAATTGAATATAGTCCGGGTTAAGAGAAAACAATTTGACAACGACAGCTTGATTATCTAGTAAGTTCTGCTATACGATGAACATCAATCTTTTTCACGTATGCACCTTTTTTTCAATTGAGTCCCTTTTACCCAGAAATCTGATACACTTCACAAGGGGTAACCATGACACAAAATCTGGAACCAAAGAGCATCGACTTATGCAAAAAAGATCATCAGTGAGTTCAAATGCTTCTCGAAGTACTTTCTTTGTGTCTTTTAACCGCACAATCAAATCAGATCATCTCATATGGATTTTATCTCAATTAATTCTATATGGTGATGTGAATTATGTATTTGAGGTTTTTGTTTTGATGTCATACAGTCATTAAAAGTTTATTTCAAATTTAGAGTGTGAATATGAGCATAGAGAGGCGATGGTTTGCGAAAAGAAAGCTTTCCCTAACATGCATGACTTTTATCGACAAAGACGCAAGTTCCAATTGCTATCGTTTCTGTTATAATTAAGATTGTTGATAACTCATTTGTGAAAATAAGAATGCCGATGAATATAGCTTTACAATATTGACACTTGAGAAAGTAAGCTTTCTTTTCAAAAATATTCCTGTTCTATACCTCCGTTTGAATATAAAATCGGATAAAACTATGGTTCCAGTTCCTTCAAAGGTCCTTCTTAGAAACAAGTAACGTTCATTGACCTTGAAAATCGATTCACTGAGCTCTAGCCTGATACGATTCATCAATACAAATATATTGACCAGGGATAAAAATAATCGTTTCTGGCAGAAGCGGATTCTGCGATTACGAAGGAACGAGCGTATAAGTTGAGCAAAGACGCAGACAGGCGGCAAATATCTGAAAGTGGGACACATTTCAGACGAAAATTAAAATGTTCAAGGTAAATCAATAAACAATACACACAAATGCAAGCTATGAGATGGTCAGGGGGGACGGGTAGCTGCTGAACTGTGGTTTCGTGTTAGGGGAGGGGAATCGAGCATCTCAGTCTCCTTATTCCATAAAATACGTGTTTCAGAAATCTCTTTCGGGAGCTCAATAGCGTTCCAGAGGGATGGCGCTTCACTCCTCCCTAGTTACTGGAACGCACGACTGCGGAAAACGGTGCGAAGGAAACTCAACTTGATCCACTCCATTGGCTCCATCAACATGGGGACGAGAGACTCTTCGGCATGTCCCTTCTCATGATCTGACTATAGTTTATGCTATGAACATGATCATTTGTACCATAGAAATCATCATTTGGGTCCAAGAAACTGTCATTTCGTGACATTGTAGTGATCAATTTTTACATAGACACGCTGGTTTTTGTCACAAAGACGATCATTTGTGTCATCTAAGCGGTAGTTTTTCCCACAAGAAATGGTCACTCTTTATATGGAAATGTCTGTTTGTCCCAGGGAAATGATCATTTTTGACACCAAAACAGTTGTTGGTGCCACAAAAGTTGCCGTTTCGTGACATTAAAATGGAGACTTCATAGCATAATAGTGGCCAATTGTGCCATGGAAATGGTCATTTGTGCCGCCGAAATGATCTTTTCGTGGCTTTGTAGTGGTTAACCGTTTTAGAGAAACGCTCATTTTTGTCACAAAAACAGTCACTTCTGCCAGCGAAACGGTCGTTTTTCCCACAACAATCGAGTACTTCAGCCACGGAATCGATCATTTTCCCCAGAGAAGCGGTCATTTCTCATGCGGAAATCGCACTTTCACCCACACCCACGCTCAGCTGTACTGCGGAATTGGTTAGCTGTGCCACAGAAATGATGATTTGTGCTCCAGCAAAGGTCGTTTACGCCATAGGAATGATAATTTGTCGCTCCCACACCGGCATTTCTGACGTTGGAACGATCATTTTTGCCATGAGAAGTTGTCATTTGTGCCATCGGAACGATTGTCGGTACCACAAAAATTGTCGTTTCGTGACATAAAATGGCCGTTGGTGTTACTGAAATTGTCATCTGTGCCACAGAAATGATCTTTTGTGCCATGGTTATTACAGACAGACATGTAGACACATGCAGCTGACTTGTGGTTTCTAGATCCTATCTGTAAAGTCTAGGGAATATATTTTTGGTATAGATATTGAGTTAACGGCGTTTGCAAACCATCTACACTGGCAGAGACTATACCATTGACGGAATGAAGAAAAAGCGAAAGATTACGAAATGCAATCAAAGATTTACGGATCAAAGGCGCCATGAATGCCTAGGTTCATTCCGATTACTCAGCTTCCATCCAGCATCCGACACCCAAACTAGCGGCAGAATTTACGCGTTTAGAAGAGAAAGCATTTTTAAGCATTAGTACCTTAAGGTATGTTTAGTTTAGTTGTTTTCTAACTGAAGAAGTTTGCGAAAACACTTTATTGCAGTGTTCCAATAGCAGATTCTGCGCTTGTGGAAATATCACTGCTAGATAAGTTTGATTTCTAACCTGAGCTGTGACTCATTCATATGCTGTCGAATTTTTCTTTCGTTACGATGTATTGTACGATAGTTATTTGTTGTTGATAAGATTATGTTGCTAACAAGGAAAGATCACCAACTGTTCAATCGCTTTTGAGCCGAAACTACGTGCATCATGTAGATCCTAATGAGCTATGAATAACTTGAAAAGGGCTCGAGCGGCTAGCTCATTACTGTCGGGATACTGCATTTTTACGATATTTTTAAGCGAAATCTCGTGGTCCCCTTCAGGAATTCTCGGAAAACTGATTTTCGGATTTCGACTCGAAACTTGACATCGAAACAGGTTTCAATGAGAGTAGTTTATTGTGAAAGTTTCAGATCTTGTGGCTACTCCTCTTCTGCAATAGTAACGTCAAAATCTATCGAGGTATACGAGCGATGTAAACATCCTTTTTAGCTGTACCTTACGATAGAAACACTCAAGAACTCTAAAGCTTTCACAATAAACTATTCTCATTGAAGCTTGTTTCTGTATCAAGTCTCAAGTCGAAATTTGAAACATCATTTTTTTATTCCTGAGGGGGGGGGGGCACGGCTTTATGTTTAATTAAAAGTACCGCAAAAATGAAGTATTCCGACGGAAATAAACTAGCCGCTCGAACTCTTTGCATGGTATTCATAGCTCATTAGGACTTATCTGATGTACATACTTCCAACTTAAAAATGATTGAATAGTCGGTGACTCTCCCTCGTAAGTTGAATATAATTAAATACACAGAATATGATAAGAATACAGTTAGACTCGCATCAGAATTTACAAATAATAACTGCTCTATGAATATCAGAAATATGAAAGCAAAGTAACAAAGAAGGTATTGGTCAATTATACATTTTTTTCTTGACAGTTGTTGTACAGAAAAAAAGACATAATGTTTTATTTTGTTTTATAGTCTATGTCCTAATATAGAGTTTCATTTTTAGAGTTTGCTGAGCTTTAAGTACTGTAATTCGTGCAAGTATGTTAGTGTAAGCAAGAAAGAAGTGGAAGAAGCTACGTTTCATTAAGATTATGGATGTGTTGCATTGCTCAACACTAGTACCGCATTCCTTGGTTGATTTGTTCATAAATCAAATCTATAGTTTTTGGATGGCGTTCCTCTGAAATCGAACTAAATATTTAAATCGAACTTTATACTACTGTAACATTCATCTAGTTTAAATATATTCTAATCACTTTGTAGATAATATTACAGTTCCATTGTGTCTTTAATCTGTCAACGAGATTTCATGAAAAGAATGAGACCGAAGCGAAAACAGACGTTCGAACATGAACAGCTTCAATCCTATCAGTTTGATTTTAATATTGATGAAGCAAATGTAACGGATAATGAAACGACGACTGATGTTGCAGTAACACCACTGCATGATGATTTACAACAACAGGATTTAACGCGAGATCAATTACAACAATTATTCTGTCGAGCTGGTTCTGCATTAGTTGCAGAAACAACAGATGATCAGAAGTTTTTTAAACGAAAAACAACAATCAAAGTATCAAAAACAAGTAAAGTAATAAAAACACCATTTCCACCTCCTGAATCAGATCGTCAAGAGAATTTTGCCATTAATATTGAACAATTGAAGCAGTTGGCTAATAAATCGACAGGTCCACTGATCATTGAAAGACATTCTCCAAATGAACAAGAAATTGATTATGCATTAGCAACCATTGCATTCACATTTAATCAACCCATGATAAATATTTCAACACTTGATGAACAGATGAATCCAGAAGATCTAGGTCTATCATTAATGCTAAAAATAGATGGTCGATGGAGATGGATAGACACGAAAACTGTTCAGTTTGAAGCCAAACATCGTTTACCATATGCAACAAAGTATACACTCAGAGTTGACAAAGAACATTGCGTGTCAGCAATCGGAGGTAAATCCATCTAAAACGAAAGAGTTTCCATGCGTATTCGATAATAGATAATTACAATAGATGCAAAAAAATAGAAGGCACATGACTGTTTACTGAATAAATTAATGATTGTCTTTCTCCTTTCGAGAAAAATATTTTCATTTTGAATTGAACATACAACAAGGTAACAAAAAGTCTTGAATGCAGATTTCGAACATTCCGAATATTCTGCGTTTTTTCTCTAAAAGCTTATGGGTTTGTTTTGATGGTTTCCTTTCAAGCCTGGAAAAGCCCAAAATTTTCTTTCAAATAATCTAATAGAAGAAAGCCCTGTCTGCCAAATAGGATATCGGGCTGAAATTTTTGTCATAATTACTTCATATTGTATCTCAGACTCTAGTTCTTTTAAGTGTTCATGATTTCATTGCTCGATATATGACGATTCTTAAAACAGAAGCCGTTTTTGGATACCTCTCTATGGACAGCATATCTTTCAAAAGAAATTAATTATAATAATTTGAGACAGAATCTGAAATATTTGCGCTAATCAATGAAACTGGATAAAAACTAGACTTTTTCAGAAAATCTACAGATGAATATCTCGGAAATTTTCCAGTAAATCATATCGACTTTCTCAGAAGATACAATGTTCACTTTTGCAAGGATATCCAAGAGCCGAGTAAAATAACACGTTAAGTAAAAGAATCCGTCTGAAGTTACTTCAGGCTGAACGAAAGATGAACATAAGAAGATTGAGAACTAAGAATTCTGGGAAGAACTTTGTATTCAATCCACCACAAAAAGTTTCAGATTAAATCAATATGTAAAATTGTACTCGACAGAACCAATTTTTAACAAAAATTAAAGGTAAAGTCGATGAAAATGAAATCAGGAACCTTTTCCCATAAATATAGCAACTCTATTTAAACGAGTAGTGTAGAATTAGCTTGAATTGCTTATGTACCTAAAACTTATCCAAATATCTTTTCAATTTTTAGATACAAAACTTGATTTACGTTCTTTTTTACATGAAATGTAATTATAATAATCTCTGAAATAGTTCCAATTTCTAAGAGTGTTTTTTTCTTTCATATGCATCAATAAAGCTCAACAAAAGAAGTTTTATGTCACTATAATGTGTCGCAGTCAACTCATAGCTTATATTCTACGTTGATTTTTTGATATTCCCATTGTTTTTTAGGAAAGTTAGACGATGAATTTTTGTTTGAATTTTCAACACAAGAATTACAAGTTCATCGATTCTTACCACATGGAACAGTTTCAACATTAAGACGTAAATGTTTCCTGTTATTCAATCAAAAAATTGATAAAAATGAAATTTTCAAGCATATTTATGTAATGCGTGGTGATGGACACAAAATGCAAAGCCACGAATTAGAACTAGTAGATGAAGAAACAACAAAAAATGAATTTAAATCGTTCATAAATGAAGATGAAGGAAATCATCAGCAATATCTTGCATTTACATTTAAACACGATTTATTAAAGACAACGCAGTATACAATCCAAGTACCTGAAGACTGCCCATCAGCCGAGGGGCCACTGAAGACGAGATCCGAGTGGTCCGCTAACTTTGAGACTTATGAACCTTTGAAAATAATTGATTGGTTTCCAAATAAAGAGGATACGTATCGACAGACTGCTGCTCCTGGTCAACGTTGGTCGCTTACATTCAATAATTCATTAGATCACTCAACAATTAAAAAGTCCATATTCAAATTCGAGCCGGAAGTCAGTGGTTTAGGTGAGCACAAATGAAACTCGTTTCAAAACATATTTTCTGGTTATCTTGTTTTTTTATGACTAAAGTCTAATTATAAATCGAACCAATCTTAAAGAAAAAAGTCCTTTTAGGTATTGAACATATTGAATACAATGATCGACAAATATTAATACATAATGACTCTCAACCGAATACCGTCTATACATTGTTTATACAATCAGGAATATTGGAAGATATTCATGGTCAACCATTAGAGCATGATCATTCCGATCAGCCAATTCAGTTTCACGTAGATAATTTAAATAAACCATTATTTGGAACTTTACGGTGGGAATCAGGTATAGTAAAACAAAACAAAACAAAAATTATGCAAAAATATAATTAAAAAAACGGTACATATTGTCAATCAGAGAATGTTTGTTTCAGGTATGATTACAATGGATCCTGGTCTATTAGATGAACCGTACTACTCATTAATAGTTTGTAACTATGCAGCATTAGTAGTTTGTAACTATGCAGCATTAGTAGTTCGTATTAATCAAGTCAAACCAGAACATTACCATTCAAATCTACCATATTACAGGGAATGTTTTAACGAAGAAGAAGACGAAGACAAAGACGAAGAGCAAAAATCTTATAGTAACTTACCTGGTGAAGAGTTGCTGAATGAAATAATACAAACAAACTGTCAACGGAATGAACCGAAAGAGATAAGAATTCCTTTAAAGGCGCATTTCACGAAATCCTCTGGATTAGGTCAACTGCTTATATTAATTACACCAACCAATAAGGCATACAAGGAATGTAAACATAGCTATTGGAGAGATGGATGTAGTATATCAGTCTGGCTACAATGTATACGATTAGCGGTCGATGTATTTGCTTCTTCAAGTAATTTTATTTTAAAAGAAAAGTAGCCAATTTATTTTCGATTCATACCAGTGATTTCATTAGAAACAACAAACATAACTTGAGATTGACTAGAAATAACCAGACAGACAACTATATTAAAAATTATTTAGAAAGATTTTAAAATAAACTATCTGACGATTCTCGCAGGTAGTAATATGTATTACACCTCTCACAGACTAAATTAAACTATAGGCATAATTAGATATACGAAGAATTTATTTTCAATTGCTTTTTAAATAGATTCTAATTCTAGGCATTAATTCATTTTTTAAAAGAAACTAACACCACAATCATTTTCAGTTATTCAATTAGATTATGTGAATTCTATAGATAGATGACATTTGGGTTTTTTAAGACTTTATCAGAGACTAATTAAACTAGTAATTGTGTTATCAACTAGCTCGAATACTTTGGACCATCATTTCTTAAACTTTTTGTACTATTAAACAATCTGCATGTGAATAACACTTTAAAAGAAAATATCTCCCAAAGAAATAATGTTATCGATACCATGCATATTCTTTCTTTACATACTAAAGCAATCAAGAGATTGGATCTTTGTTCTGTATACTTAATCGAAAATGGGTCAAGTTGATAAGATTCTTACCTAAAAATTAGCCAAGGCTGAGTTTGAAATGATTTTTGAATACTTCAATCTAGAAATATTTTCCAAATTCTTCAATCACCTTAGTTTCTTGGAAACTCCAAAAAGCATTAATTGACTACCACCTAAATACTTCTTCTGAGGATTACTTGCGTTCTGTTTTTCTTAGACGATCAAACAAGAAAATTAGTGAGCTTCATTTCTAATGTGGTGGGTGTGGGATAATTATATTCACTTTCCAATGACACTCATCCTCCACAGCCTACTGTACGAATAATACTAATAGCTTTTTATCCTAGATAATGACGGCACATTAACTGCATGGGTTACTGATTTAATGACTGGTGCACTCATCCATGAAGCAACTGTTTCAATATTGAATCAGAAAAAAGTAACAAATCAACAAGGATTATGCACTATTGAAAGGTGCAAGGCAAAGATTGTTAAAAGAAGAGAAGAAGAAGAAGAGGATAGAGAAAATGAAATATTAGTCGTAGAAAAAGATGGCGATCTATGTATGGAGGTAAATATTTATCCTAATGCAAAAGTTGATGATGTTTACGTCTGGCACGTGTTCAATGATCGTGGCTTATATAGACCAAAGGAAGACGTGCATATAAAAGGTTATGTTCGATTGTTGAAAATAGAAGGTGAAGCAAAAGTGCCTACTTATGCTAAAGGTATAGTCAACTGTACAATTTATGATTCTCGACGTGAAGAACTTCAACAGTCAAAAGTAAAATTGAGTCGTTATGGAACATTTGATATCAAATTTACATTACCTGACAACGTTAACTTAGGTAAAGTGGAATGTTCTTGCAAAACTCTATAGTTGTTGTGAGAGAAACTTCTTCATTAGAAGTTTATGGCTCTCATTTGAATTATAGAGAATTCATCGAATATTTACACAAATTATCGCTAATGGACTGCTCTGCTCACTGTCATCTATGAGAATTTGAAAAATATATCAGACATAGATATCCGAGTGTGTCAATGAACGTACGACTATTTCCTTTTGGATTCAGTTCGAAGTAGTCTTCTTTGCAAATATTGGGACTTAGAAATTTCTTCTACGAAATGTAAATGATTTTAATAGTGATAGTTTCAAAAAAACCCTATCTTCATTTTTGTCTAAATTCGAAATCTTTTTATATGAATCAATGAAATCGTCCACAGAAAGAGACGTCTTCTAGAGTTTTCATAAGAATTCTAATAGAAATATAATCATGGCGCCCAATGTTGTGATATAAATTCTTGATGCGTCTTCTGCAGTCATTTCAATTGATTAACATTGAAACTAGCTCAATATCTTGAATCGACCAAGTTTCAGATTTATTATAAATCTTCAATATCGATAAGATCAGATTACCAGAAATCAAATCAAGTTTATGTGAAAAGTGAGAAACTCATATATCTTAGAGACTCGTCAAAAGAATAGAAAGGCGTTAAAATGAATTTTGAATTAAAATAACGATTTCCTTATGTGTCAATGAGTTTGACCTTCTTCAATTTGTCGTTGAGGTAAACATTGTTATCTATTTAAAACTCTCGTTAATCAGACATATGAACGTGTGATCAGTCATTGGCAAGAGTGCAATAAATGTCATCTCAGTATATAGTAGCAAACTCCTCAATTTGATCTTGTTACGAGCTTAATGTTCTCCTTAGACTTTCTTTTGAACTAAAATCTTGACTTTCTGTTTGTCTAGACTATGTTTGCATTTGCATTTCATCAGACTCGACACAGTCCGCATCCGTGAATGTGGGTCGGATGGAATACACCTTGACAACGAGAAGTTTAACCTCCAAATAATCTCAGTAATGTGTTAATATATGACGCTTGTGATGATCTTAATACGTTGAATACAATCATTTTTCTTTACTTATTAGGACCTATCTGCAAATAGGATGGATAGGTTATATACTTAACTTACTTATCCTGTTTTGGATACTCCTCATATTGTCATATGTACACACAATAGAGATGGAACTGGTATGATTTTCTCTACACCGAAACCGGTACCGTCCTGAACCAGTTAGACCAGATTCGGTCGACAGGTATATCGGCATGAGTCATTAGTGACTTGTCTCATCTTATATGAATCATAAATGTACATCTAGCCTACGAGTTTTGGTTGATGTCACATAGAACGCTCGGATAATAAAGGCACATAACTTTATTGTGCTCTAGTACTACTCAATCACCACACGCTATTAACTTGGTGAAACTTGATACCATACAATTTGAAATAAGTAGATTTAAAACATTGTTCTCTTGTTAGGTGTTGATGGTAGAATGGAAACATGGATGAATATCTAAAGACATAGTTCTTACGAAAGCAGAACACATTAGAAAAATAGTGTAAAGTAGGATTAAATATTTGATACATTACAGTTATGAACAATAGTTCATTCTTTTTTCTATCATAGAACCTGTTCCTGTAGTGGTTAGATGAAATATACGAGTTAAGGTTTGATAAATATGGGCTCAACATAAACATCTTACTGCATTTTTCAGTGTAGATTTTGCTCTTGGCATCGTTAAAAATTGTTTGGAATGCAAAAATAAGTTTTTCTACGTTGGATTTTTTCAAAAACTGATCAGAAATTAAGGAAAACATAAGAAATTTTTCTAGAGCGAACCGGATCGATCGACTGCAACTCTGGCAGAAGTCGATATCCAAAGTTCTGATCTGTTTGAAGAGTTTTATCATTACAAACGATATTAATGTTATGACTGTTGCTTGATGATATACTGTGGGATAAGATTCGGAGATCTCTTTCTTATTCAAAATTTTGGCTAATTATTGTCTTGCAAAATTTTCTGAGTATTGCACTAGGTTGGATAAAGAAATCTACTCATCCATGCGTTACTCTGTAACAGTTTCTCACGATTAAAGCGGAACATTTCCGAAATCGGCTGTTTAGCACGTCGTTTCTTGAAAGACTTTAGTAGTGGAAGTTTATAAGTTCAAACAAGGGGGGACAAACTGATTTCACCAACGGAAATCAACTTGAAATCATTTAAAATCGCCTAACATCATGAAATCAGCTTTTTTATCCGTTGAGTTCAAAGAAGAATTAATTGATTTTGATTTCATATTATTATTAGGTAAAGGATATGTCGACTTCAGTTTACCAGATTCAAAAACTGGTACAGAACATTATTTTCAAATTCAAGAGTTTCGAACACCAGAGTATGAAGTTTCATCAATAATTCGATCACCAGTAGCATACTATTGTCACTCAACTGTCGATCAACATGTTATAGCTATTTGTGAAGGACAAATAATAGGTGGTGGTCATCTAAGTGGTGCGAATGTTCAATGGACAGTACACGCTGAAGCAACAAAATTTATACCAGGTAATAGATATGACTATATGTTTGGCAGAGCCCAGTCGTTCTCTTACTATTCTGGTGATTATACCCAAAACAAAATATCATATCCAAAAAAATATTTTCAGGTAATATAGATTTTATTCAAATACTCAATGATAAGTTACTTTCGGAGAAAGCAAAATCAAATCAGATTGAAACATCATTCAGGCTCTATACATTGACTTGACCAAGAATTGCTGTTCATCCTAATTTTATTTATCTTCTTGTTATCATATGCTAATAAGAAAGTTAACTTTGCTTGACTCGACAATCAAGAACTGCATTTATGAAGAATCTATTAAAATTTCTAGCAAACAAAAAAATGCACTCGTATTTCACATTTTATAAAAGTCAAAGCTTCTATTATTTCTATAACAAAAAGCAGATTTAGTCAGAGATTCAAGTATGAAACTACTAGATTCGTGTTAGGATTCGCACTGTGACAAGTTTAGAACTGCTGAGGAATAGAAGAAAACTTGAACGAAGAGTGAATATTGAAGTATTAAGTCGTTTAATTTAAACAAAGTATTACTATCTTTATCGATGCGTATACACGATATATACTACGAAGTAAGGCGTCAAATATGAAAGAATTAAACAACTCCGTGCTTTACTGAGTTTTTAGAAAAAAAAACATCAGAAATTTCACAAATGTAAATAGAGAATACTTCAGTTGGTTTAGAAATTTATTTTAGGCTCTTATATATTTTTAGAGTGACTCCAATTCTTTAATTTCAGGGTAAAACAAACAACAAAGGTCAGCATGAAATAAAAATTACTTATCATGGTATCGAGGAAGAGCCAAGCCCAATAATTGTTTACGCATTAGCAGCTATTACTGATTTGAATTCTCAAACACAACAAACACGAGCAAATTTTCTCATACATCCATGTAAATATTATGTTGGATTTCAGTTCGTAAAGAATTATGGTACGAAAGATAAATCGGTGAAAACAAAAGTCACTGTAACAGATATTGATGGAAATTTAATTGATAATATTTTGGTTCAATGCAAAGTAGTTGGATATGGCAAGGAATAGAAAGAAGATCAGAATGGTTTAACAGTATTTGAAGAAGTAATAGATGAACAAAGATTAACTATCGTTAGTTCAAATAAAGACCCAGTTAATATTGATTTTACACCAAAACTAGGTAAAAAAATAATTTGTAAGAAGCAAAAATCAGATTTGACTTCACCGGTGTAAGATCCTGTATAATAAAATCTTTTCTTTCAGATCCTAAGTGATACTTTAATCAAAGTTTCTCAATTTAATGAAAACAGGAAGGTGCACTGACGGATCCCATGTCCTTTGAATCGGCTAAAAATTGCCGATTAATCCCGATTCGTCGAAACGATAATCGTGAGCTGAATCGCAATAGAATCGCCGATTATTCCCGATTATTTCAGCGATTTTTACGATAAATCGTGATTTTATGCAAGATTTAACCGTCTGTTTACTGATATTTTCTATTATTTTATCGGTTCTTTTGAAGACACATATTTGGATTTTTTCTTGAATTTAAGGCCCCCCCCCCCCCCCCCTCAAAAATCGATCTCAGCCCAGGTATGTTCAAATGGGCTGAAATTTGGAGCATATGTTGGGGCTGATGTGAGGAGGCTGTGATAAAATTTTCAGCTCGATATCCTGATGTTTGACTGAGATATTCACCAAACAAGGGTCAAAAATAGGTCATTTTGGTACAAGGATTTCTCAGCCCGGACCCGTCTAACGTATTTAAATTTTTTTTTTTGTTAGAAAGAGCATATCAGGATGCAGAGCACTACAGAGTTCTTTTTTTGAGATTCTTACTTTTTTAGCGGAGAAAGGAGATCACAAGTCCAATGGCTCAAAAAACGCCCCAAAAATGGGTGTCCAGTCACATAAGTGTCTTT